GAATATATTTGACCAAATGTATTTATTGGGTGTGGAAGACTGCAGTTTTGACTTGAATAAAGAAACTGGAGGTCTCTTGCCCTTTGTGAGCTCCATACATAGTTTTCACACCATGTTGGCCTACAAGGACGGGCGGGCTTCCCCGACGTAGGTGTACTGCCATCGGCAAGTTGAAGTCCGAGATGCCCGGAGTCACCATCGAACCGAGCGCGAAGAAGCATAACACAGAACCAGCCTAGATTTGTGTTCAAATTGAATTCTCACTCATTACTAGGTAGTTTCTGAATGAAATTGAACAGTGAATTAAGGTACAAGATCAGTCAAAAATCCCTGTAATAATATTACCGTTTAAATCGTTTGTAAACTGTTTTTAAAATGTTTACCGGGGCCCGTAAACTAAAAGGATTATTAGTCCGTTTACAAACGTTTAGAAACGTTTGAAAACGGAAACGGTTGGAGCTTTAGTTGTGGCCACATCCTCAGATTTATTCTGTGATTCCGCGCCAAGAACCTACTCATATTCGCGGCACGCACGCACGGTTCTCAACTTTGCTTCATTCACGTCAGATGTTGCTGCTTGCATGTGCTTGGCGTTCCTGCGTGACGCGACAGCGCACGTGACGCACAGAACTGCTCGCCGCTTCTTGAAGTTCAAGTTGAGGTTCTTCTCTATGATCTTTCTCCGTTTATGTTGTGTTTTTAATTCAGCTGATTTTCCCCCCTCCTCTGATGTCGCAGCGGAACCCGCTTTCGCCGCCACGGCTTGCCCGTGAACACCTCCGAGTCACTTTCACATCAGCCCATCGGCTCAGTGGTGAGAAAAAAGCGCAGACGATCTTAAGACTATTCTTGGCAGTCGCTCTATTTGCAGCCGCCAATGTACCCCGTCCGTCAGAGTAGACAGAGTATTTGACACTGACAGGCCGGAGCGGCGGCACCTATCTCGACATGAGATGAGTTAAAATTCAACCAAAATTGACAGCCAATACAAGTTCAATTTCTCACGAACTATAAACCAAGCACGACAGGTTGGGACGGGATGTGAAGGGTGTGACCTCTGAATTATTTATTTGCGCAGAGACTTCAGTCAGTGAGCCATATCTTTCCTAACGGCGAGACGCCCCCCTACGTCGGCCAATCCCTCTGAACCTCCTGTGCCGAAGTCGTTCCACTGAACCGGATTTTTGGCCGACTCCTCCTCGCCCCCATTCTCTCCTACGGCTCGCGATATGACTGCACAACGTCCGAGATTTCGTTCTTCGCAATCGCAGCGGCGGCCGTCGTTTTCATGCTTCAACAAGCGAGGTACGAGCTGCATATATTGAAGTGTCTGTCTAGGAGAGACTAGTTTCAATAGAGATATCCGACACGGACAAGGACACTCACCTTGAAGTCAACCGTGATCGGCACAAGAAAATGCGGACTCGGAGGCCGCGCCCCAGCTGAAAACGTGACCGCGTGTGCTTTGTCGCGCTGTGCTATGTTAACACTCGTTGCCCTTCCTCTGTCCTTTCCCGTCATAATACATCGACTTCTCAGGCTCTCGATGGAAGGATATCCCGTCGTTGAGGCCCTCCCAGTGGTCAGTCAGCATTGATTCAGGCCTGCTGGACCTTCTATAGGATCTGCCAGGATTCAGAGGAAGCATCGATTCTGGATGATAACGATCCTGACTAGACTCGTAACACAGTCTGCCTATGATTGGCAAGAAAATGAGGCGAGCAGCTCTTTGCATACGGCAACGTACTCGCCACATTGTTGCAGATCTTAGGGAGACTGGTTACGAGTCTAGATCCCGACATTCTCAGCACGTCGGAAAAAATTGCTTTTATGAAGGGGGTGCGCTATCTGGGAACCAGCGCGGCGGCAGCGATTTTGAACTTTCTCTGGGCTGCCGTAGATAGGTTCGGATGCCTCGGACCTGAAGTTTGCCTCCTTTCGCGGTATGAGATACAGGGACTCATACAGTCTTGATGTGCCTCCAAGCGTTTAGGGATTCGTCGCCGTGCGTCATGATGCAAATCCTCGGGTACACCCATTTACTGTAATATGAATGCACAAGTATTTTATTTCAGGGCAGCGAGTGATCTAGCCCTCCCTTGTGAAAATATGCCCACGTATCCAGGGTTCCACGGCTCGATAGTGGACGGTCGCCACCTGCATACATTATCGCGTCGAAGATATCCTGTATTCAGGAGAAGCTCGTTTGACTCAGGCGCCGACCCGTGCTGCATCTTGAGTCATTTTTGTCCTCCGAGGTTTGCGGAGTGGACAGTCATATTTACTTAGGTTCCAAATGGGCTTAATATCGACTCTTCACCAGCTTCCTCTGCGGTTTTAATGCAGGGTAACACCCATTCGACTGGGGCTTGAGCCGTTCAGGGTAGGGGACACCTGTTTCATTGGTTCCTCGAGATTCATATTCAACTCGGGTTAGGTCGAGTCATCCGTCGTGTTGAATAATATATATTCCCTTATTCCCTCACCGCCCATACAGTCAACCTTCCCATTTCTTCAGGTGCGAGGAGTGAACAAGAAAGACTGGATGGCGGACGGTCCGTACTTGCATCCCAAGTAGCGACAGCATCATGGTAATGCAGGTCAACCGATATTCCTGTCTTGGTTCACAAAGCCAGAGAGAGCCCCGTACGTCTCATCAACCTACTTAAAGAAAGAAAGAAAGAACATGTATTCAGAGCGGTGAGTGTATCTATCTCTAGCTCTAGCGCGCATCCGGGGTACAGAGAGGGATTGTGTCGGCTCAATGGCGGAGGGTCCGGACCGCACCTCGTACATGTTGTGTATCGACTTGGCCTGTTCGACTCGGGGACTCCACGCGATATTTCCGCCCGCCCACCGCACTCTGCCCACCGCCCACCGCGCTAAGCCGCCCGCATGCGCGCCCAGTTCCACATCACCTCCGCACGTCCACATCCACATCCGCTGCACACAAAGCGGATGACGCACCCATCGCCGCCGGATTTGACCTGGACGCTGCACCCCGCGGACGCCGGGTACCCCCCCGTACGCCTACGCCGGAAAGTGACTAGCTGCCACGAAACATGGGCTACCGCCTCCAGATCAAGAATGGACCCTGGGAAGGTCGCGCGAGGGAAGGTGCGTAAACCAAGCAAACGCAAATCAAGCGCGAACTCGAATCACGCCCCGCGCACCACCAGAATCAAGAAAAGAAGGAAAGAAGGAAAATCAAATCGCGCAGACCAAACCGAATCGAATCCCAACCCAAATCGAAAGCACGAAAGACCGAAACAGAAGAAGAACGAAGAAGCAAAACGCACCTAAACATCGACACCGTAATCGCATTGTGCACGACGTACTCCCAGTGGTCCGAGTGGCGCTTCTCGAGCGCGAGCATGAGGACCTGGGCGAGCATCGCGCTCGTCGGGAACTCGCGGACATAGCATGCCTGTGGCGCACGCCACAGAATGCCACAGAATGCCTGCGGCGCCCGAGGGAAGGGTAAGCCTGCGGTACAAAGGCGAGGAGGGGACTGCACACGAGGCGCAGCGCCACGGGGAGGAACGGCAGCGCGAGGGACATGGGGAGGGCGAGGAGCGGTGGGGCGAGGACGAGGGCGAGGGCGGCGCGCGGGGAGACGGCCCAGCGGAGCCACGCCACTGGGCTCCCTGCTTTCGGGCCGGAGGAGGCCTTGGCGGTAGTAGAGGCAGGGGCGAGGGAGAGCGCGGGTGGGGTGGGCGAGGGCGGGCTGAAGGCGAGGTGGTGCGAGGTCGTTGGAATGCAACGAGGAGAGGGGGGTAACGAACTCGAAGCGCGCGGGTGGCTTGGGTCGGGCGGTGGAGATCATCGCGGCGGCGTCGTCGTCGGTGTAGAAGAGGAGAGGTGGCAGTGAAGGACTTTACGGAGATTATTTTGGTGGGATCAGCACGTGCGAGGGCGTTGTCGCCGCGTCGTTGTCCCGGGCTTGGCACTGGTTGAACATTTCAAGTTTTTCAGTGAAAAGATTGGTGAAAAATATCCATTATTTTTCACATTTTTCTCACTGAGACCATAAGTGAAAAAATTAGAATGTTTTCACTACTTTTTTCATTTCTAAGGTGAAATTTTTGAAACAAGTCAAAAAGTGCTGAAAAAGTTTAAAAATTTCACCTACTTTTTCAGTGAAAAACTTCTGTAAGATCCTGGATATTTTTCACCAATTTTTCACCGAAAAACTTGAATTGCTCAACCAGTGTGGGTCGTCTGTGCTTCTAGTTCGGTGGCGCTCGTCTTTTACGACCGCGAGGCTCACGCTGAAGAGAGCCACGAATTCGGACTGGCAAGCGTGTCCGAGCCGTCTCCGCCGCAGCACCCCACCGCGTAATCCCGCTGACACACTCGGAAGGCGGAAGCGGGCGAAGTGTTTTCTCGCCGTGATCAACTGCGCTGGATAACTAAGTAGTTCGGCAGGAATTAATGCTGCTTAGTGAACAAACGGCACACGGGGTACAAGAAGGGTTAGTATCCGCTCGATGGCGGACGGTCCGCCCCTGCACCTCATGAACTGTCAGCAAGAGGGTAATACAGGACACGCCCGTTCGACTCGGGCTCGAGCTATAACTTGAAGACGATGACGAAATCTTTTTTTCCTCTCCAATCCGGGGCCGTTTAGGAATTCATCGCCCGTAAATTTCTCCGTCATGATACATACAAATCCTGCTCATCCACCCACTTAATATAAGATGAACGCCCACATATTTTATTTTTGGGCGGTGGGTATCTAGCCCTCCCTTGCGAACGTATATGCACACCTATCCAGGGTTCAGGAAGGGATGAGAACGGCTCGATAGCGGACGGTTCGCGCCTGCACGCCGTGGGCGGTTAATGGTAATTCAGCAGAAACACCCGTTCGACTCGAGGTCGAGCCATCCCATAGCAGCCCAATGCCTTTTTTTTCAATTGTATTTCCTCACGCTCGCCGACAGTATTTCCTACTTAATCAAAGATTCGCATTCATTCAGGTGCTAGGAGCGGAGAGTATGGGCTCGATAGCGGAGGGTCCGCGCCTGTACCTCATGAACTGTCGGAGGAAAATTTGATGCAGGAGATGCCCGTTCGACTCGGGCTCGAGCTATAAGGCGATGACGAAACCATTTTTTCCTCTCCATAGTCATCTGGGCCGTTTAGGAACCCGTCGTCCGCAAATTCCTCCGTCATGATACCAATCTGGCTCATCTACTCACTTACTGTACGATGAACGCACACATATTGTATTTTTGGGCGGCAAGTCTAGCTCTAGCTCTCCCTTGCGAAATATCCATACCTATCCAGGGTGCAGCGAGGGATGAGAACGGCTCGATAGCGGACGGTCCGCGCCTGCACGCCATGGACAGTTAACGGCGATTTAGCAGAAGCACCCGTTCGACTCGGGGTCGAGCGATCCATGAGCAGCCCAATCCTTTTTTGTTCAATTGTATTTCTTTACGCTCGCCGACAGGACTCCCTCCTCAAAGTCTCAAGCTCGCGCAACCAAGATTCACATTTATTCAGGTGCTAGGAGCGGCGATATCGGCGGGTCCGCGCCTGCCCTTAATTGCTTCGACGTCAGACGGCATGCAGCAAATTCCCGTCCGACTTGGGCTCGAGCCTTGCATGCCTTGTAATTCCTTTTTTCACCTCATCTCACGTCCGCACGCATAGCTGATATTATCCAGGCTCAATCCCTTTCTAGTGATTTGGGGCCACATTTATTAGTCTTTACGGGTTGAAGTGAGTCTCGACAGGATCCTGATCTGTGATGCACACACATCGCAGAAAGATGGACAGGTGCTCTGGGTTTCAGTATGCATTGGAACGGCTCCATGGCGGACGGTCCGCTCCTGCGCCACATACTGCACGACCATAGACTGTCATGCAGGACACGCCCGTTCGACTCGGGCTCGAGCCATAGCCAGTCCATTGATTTTTTGTTTGTGTTTCGGGTGCGTACCAAGTCCACCCCGCTCACGACTGGAATATCTTCATCTAATTCAGGTTGCAATCCTGGATGTTGTCGGCTCGATAGCGGAGGGTCCGCCCCTGCACCTCATATGTGTTCTTCGATAATGAATTTCACGCAGGAGACACCCGTTCGACTCAGGGTCGAGTTGTTCATCGGAATTTCATCCTCTCTTTTTTATTAAAAAGTCCCCCGCTGCTCCTTCTCCTTCGCGCAATCTCCTAATATATTACACCTCAACGGCAACAAGACTGCACCTCCGCTCCCGCCGACAGGAGCGTCCTCCAGACTGTTCCGATTGTGCACGCCTTCGGTATGAGCTGTGCCGAGTCCACCCCGCACACGACGAGATGTCGTCATCTAATTTGGGTCCGAGAACTAGTGTGAAAGGCTCGATAACGGAGGGTCCGCGCCTGCATCGTTTAATTAGTTCTCCCGCTGCGAAATGTAGGAGGCACCCGTTCGACTCGGGCTCGAGCCATAATCTCTCGTTGTATTCTCTTTTTATCTACGTCTGTGGAGGCAAGACTCACATCTATTCGGGTTCCAACCCAGCCAGATAAGGCGTTCGACTCAGGCACGAGCCATGCCTACCTTTCTGGGAACTCTTTTGTTCGATCCTTCGTGACTGCCTAAATTAATCGTCATTCATTCTGATCGCAAGCTAGCCTGATATCGGCTCGACGGCGGAGGGTCCGCGCCTGCGTACATTATTTGGCTGGCGAAGCATGCCGCAGGACACATCCGTTCGACTCGGGCTCGAGCCATGCATGGCTCATGTACTTGTTTTTTTTATCTCTTCCTACTCCTTCCTTCCTCCTTCCTGCATCCAAAGAGACCACCCCAACGGCAACGACACTCCACCTCCGCCCCCGCCGGCAAGGAGAGCATCGTGGAGGCACAGTACGACTGTTCCGATTCTACATACCTTCGGTGTGAGTTATACCAAGTCCACCGTGCACACGACGAGATGTGGTTATATAATTCAGGGGCTAGGAAGGATAGGGACGGCTCGACAGTGGATGGTCCGCATTTGCATCCTGGTATTTGGTCTGATGCTTACAGTGCACGCGATGCCCGTTCGACTCGGGGTCGAGCCATGTACATTCCAGAATGATTTTTTTTAAATTGCCTTCCTCACGCAGACCCTCTGAAATTAAGCCGATAATACGCTGGATTGAAACCTGAATAAATGGGTGATAGAGCAGAAACACCCGTTCGGCGCGGGCTCGAGTCATGTCACTCTTCTCGATATCTGCCGTTTATCCCTTGCCCCGGTTGCTCCCAAAATTAATCGTGATTCATTCGGGTTTTAACATCTCTAATATCAGGTCGATAGTGGATGGTCCGCGCCTGGACCTCATGAATTGCGGGTAGGAATGTGATGCAGGGTGAAATTGTTTTATTCCCTCCTCAAGTTCACGGATTCGACACTGGCGCTTCCACGTTCTTTCGTGGATTCCTCACCTACCCATATTTCTGCCCATGCCGACAGAACCAGACCCTCTGAATACACGAAGCAGGGATGAGAACGGCTTGATAGCGGAGGGTCCGAACCTGGACCTGATACAAGCTCTTTAGAAATGCGATGCAGGACACGCCCGCTCGACTCGGGCTCGAGCCATCACCTCTCGTTGGGTAACTACTTCTGTGGAGGCCAGACTCACATGTACTTATTAAGGTTCCAACTTAGTCAAATAATGCGGGACACACCCGTTCAACCCGAGTACATACACGGATGGTAGCATAGGCGTTCATGAATGCCTACTGATGGCACTGAACGCCTATTGTGCCTATTGTCGGTACGACCAGCTATTCATCGATATTCATCCGCCGCTTATCATTTCTGATGCCAATGATGCGGCGACGGGAACCCCTGTCACGCCTCGCCTCTTTCTCTCTCACCACGACCACGACTACCATCTCCCCCTGCCGCGCTCGACGACCTTGACGACCTCGACGCGCAAACGCTCGAGGCGCCACACATTCCTAAAGCGACCCGAAGCGCACCCATCCGGTCTTTTTCGTCTTTTCTACACACCGTCTGCTGGTAGTTTCCTCCGATGCACGCTGGGGAGGATAAAACCAAGTTGAACGCCAGCGGGGCTCTTGTGCGTCCGCCTCCTATTCACTTCTACGTGTCCTCTCGTATGCGAGTCGGCTCGGCATGCGGCTTCGCCGCATTGTGCGGATCGGACAGTAACTGGCCATGCACATGGTCAGCACATCCCCTCGCGTTTGCACATCCCCGCTCCCGTGCAGCCCGCTCAGCGGGCCACGCATCACACACCCTACGCGGCTGCCCCTATGCCAACGCGTGCGGACAGGTTGCCGTTACACGCGAGATAGGAACCGAGGGCGCGAGGCCACTTTGTAGTTATCTATCTCTTTATAAAATTGCCTCTGTCTGTCTGAAGCTTTTAAACTCCGCTTTCGGTTTATCAGCCCCAGGAATTTGGAACAACAGCTTTTAGCTTTCTAGAAGAGGATGACGGATCGCGGAGCGGTCCGTCAATGGCTTGTTAATCTATACTGGTTAATCCTTCAAAAATGATACCCTTTGCTACAAAAATCATCTTTCAGAGCTGTGAATCTTCCAACGCGCGAGGCGCCGCGCCGAGTGTGACGGAATTAAAAATGCCCCGCTGTGATGACAGCCGAGCGGCGAGGAGTATGTAAACATTCAATCAAACATCAGTAAGTAATAAGTAGGCGTTCGAGTCGAGCGATAGGCGTTCGATGGAATAAATAGGCTTTCAATGCCACCAATAGACGTTCGTGAACGCCTATGCTCCTAAAGTTGTCGTGCCTCGTTCAACCCGGGCTGACCTTGTCTAGGAACTCTTTTGTTTCATACTTCATGGCTGCCGAAACTAATTAAATCTAAGCTACTCAGGTTGCCAACTATCCGAATACCGGGTCGATGGCGGACGGCCCCCCTGCACCTCGTGTGTTCTCGGCCTCCAATCTTTGGAAAATAAGTACCAGTGTTATCCAACCGCTGAAAATCCTGTGTCATCAGGTCTCAAACTAGCATAACGCCGGCTCGATAGCGGGCGGTCCGCCCCTGCATCCAGTGAGCTGGGGGAAGACTTCAATGCGGGACACGCCCGTTCGGCTCAGGGTCGAGCCATGATCCGGTGACTCTTTTTGTTTCTTCCTTGTGTTCTACCCCCACTTCGCAGGGCAAACCCGTTTGACTCGGGCTCGAGCCATTCATCCCTTCTTGTAATAGTCTTTCCCCCCCCCCCCATTCCTCCTCCTCTTTCTGATTCTTCTTGCATCCCAATTTCGTAATATAGGTCACCTCAACGGCAATGACACTGCAGCTCCGCCCCTGCCGCCGACAGGAGCGTCCTCCAGGCATATTACGACTGTTCCGATTCTGTACGCCTTCGGTGTGATTGTACCGCGGACGCGACTGAGATATTTTCATCTGATTTACCTGCGAGAACTGGTATGAAAGGCTCGATGGTGGAGGGTTCGCGCCTGCATCTATCTAATTGGTTCTCCCACTGTGAAATGTAGGAGGCACCCGTTCGACTCGGGCTCGAGCCATAATCTCTCGCTGTATCCTCTTTTTATCTACTTCTGTAGATGCAAGACTCACATGTATTCATGTTCAAACCTGGCCAGATAATGTGCGATAAGCCCGCTTGACTGGGGCTCGAGCCAGAGATCTCCAGGTGCAACAGTCCTTTCGCTCCTCCCCCGGCTGCCGCCGAGATTAATCATCATTCATTTAGGTTGCAATCCTGGATATTGTCGGCTCGATGGCGTATGATCCGCACCTGTCCCACATAGCTTTATTTGCATCTGCGTGCAGGAGAAGCTCGTTCGACTCGGCCTCGAGCCATGCATGTCATGCATGTACTTTTTTTCTGGGTTTCGCTCCACAACTCTCCCACCGCCCAGTCGATGCACCCATTGGTCCACGCTCATTCATTTACTCTCCCGGAGTTCTTCGTGCCGGTGCTCCCCACAGATGGACTTTGCGGAATGACAGTGAGTACTGGTGTCATCCACGCACAGAAAGTCCCCCATCTATTCGAGTTTCAGACTAGCTCGATAGCGGACGGTCCGCGCCTGCCCCACATTATATTTCTTTTCAGCTGTGGACAGGAGACGCCCGTTCG